GCAGTGGTATTTCAGCTAAGTCATTTTAGAATGACATGAGAGAGGGACAGCACGAAGTGATGTCTCCCATGACCAACTACATCATTAGTATGCATGTGCTTAATAAATATGTGATATAAAGCAGGCAGCCAGGGACCATCCCTTTGCCTGGTGCTGACCTGAACTGTCAAAAGAGAACTTGTTATATAAACTAGCCTCCTAAGAGGTTGTTTGTCTGGACCTGTTAAGTTCTTGACAATCTTGTGACTCAGAGCTTCCCATGAGACACCAAACAAAGCTTACTATCAGTTCCATGTCTAAGCAGGGCTTATCTGAAAATATTTAAAGAGGGCTCATTTGTACAACCATTTTGTAAATATTAATGAAGTTATATTAATAGTAAAAACCCAAACAGCATTTGTTTATATTCCCATTTACACATTCCACTTCCAAACACAGACTTTCTAGCCATCTTCCTGTCCTACAGGCTCATCCTGGTATTTCTGGGAGTCTATAGGGATATTCTTGTTTTCTAACCACCGTTTTTTTATGAAGTCACTAGATGGCAGCATGACACCGCAATTCATGTTGTTTATAACTAAAGGGTTTTGTTTATTTAACCAAGGGTACTACTTCCTTATATTCTTATGGCTATACGCCATTCCCTGAAGTTCTTATCTCTATTATATGTACCAACACAGATATGAGGAGACTGTTTTCCTCAATTGTAGAGAAGTGTTAAATTGTCAAGAGGAAAAAAGTTTTTGGTTAGTTAACTATGAAAGGAGCAGAAAAAAAGAGGTCTACTGATAGGATAGAAAATAGGTTTATTTATTGCAGAAGATACTTTTGTCTACCTAGAAAACCCAAGATAACTAAATGAAAACAAATAAAGGAGTTCCTAAGGTGTCTCATAAAACATCATAAAATCAATGGTTTTCAAACGTACAGAGGGTGCCAAAAAAATGTATACACATTTTAAGAAAGGAAAAAGCTGTATTAAAATTGTAATACTAAATATATACCGATACCAAAAGATGAATACAAGTCATGTTTGACTTCTGTAATTACAAGACATGTTCAAAGTGGTTACCATCACCATAATTTTAATACAGTTTTTTCCTTTCTTAAAATGTGTATACATTTTTTTGCACCCTCTATATAATAACTGAATCAAAAATTAATAAAAAAACTCATTCGTGATGGCTACAAACATACAAATATTGAGGAATAAACAACAAAAATGGGCAGAAAGTATATGGAGGAAATCATAAAACTTTAATGAGGATCATTAAAAAAAAAACCTGAAAGAAAAGGCAAGTTCAACTCTTACCTGGCTAAAAAGACTATAGTAAAAATTCCAAAAGGTCCCGGTAACATTAAATTTCCCAAAAGGTCTGTTTTGGAACTTGGAAAACATTGTAAAGTAAATCTGGAAGACTACAGATATGAGAGTAGGAAAAAAATAACAAAAAGGCAGACTTAATACATGTTATAATTATATTAAAGTTAAAATTGTATGATAATGACACAATAATAAGCAAATCAAAGAACATAATAGAAAACCCAGAAACAAACTCTAATGTGGATAAGGATTTGGCATATGATGTAAATGGCATTTCTCTAATCAGTAGGGAAAGAAAAGACTATTCCATAAATATTGGGACAATTGCCAAAACATTTGGAAAAAATAATTTTTTTTCTTATTTTTAAGCATATACCAAAATCTTAAAGAAAATCTTAAGGAAAATATGGATAAATATTTATCTAATTCAAGGAAGAATTTTCCAAGTATAAAAGCAATGAAAGAGGGCCGGCCGAGTGGCGCGTTGGTTAAGAGCTGGCTTGGGACACCAGAGGGCCCCGGTTTGGATCCCACATATGAGGGCCAGTGACACTGCCCTCTACAGCTAAGATGCTGAACAACAGCTCAACCTGGAGCTGGGCTGCGTGAGCCACCGGTGACGGCATAAGCTGCAGCCCCTGCTGCAGTGGCTACCATATGTAGCCGGCAGCCAGCGTGAGCAGCCAGCAGCCACCATGAGCGGCCGTCCAGAAGCCGGCGACTGATCTGCCTCACCCGGGAAGAGTGCAATGATGGTGCCAAATTGGGCCAGTGAAACAACGTCCTTCACAACTAGACTGAAGAACAAAAGGACAGCAACTTGTCTGTTCCCCTTCCCCGATTCCCCAACGCTGTTCCCTCCCCCAATTCCCCAATAAAATCTTTAAAAAAAAGCAACGAAAGAAACCATAAAGAAAAACATTGACAGGTCTGGTTAAGTTCAAATTAAATATATTTAGGGTTATTGATAGCTTTGATATATAAAGGTAAAATATAAAATAGATAATAGAAAAAAATAGACAAAAGAATCATTTCACAAAACAAAAATATGCAAATGACAACTAAGCACCAGTAATTCCTAAAATGCAAGTTAGAATATAGTAATTTTTTGCCCATCCACATTGGATAAATATATACTACAACATCAGTAAATATACCCTGGTGTGAACAGAGTATTTTCATACCATGCTAGTGAACTAAAAAAACCCCAAAAAACTTATATCAAATAATTCCATTTCCAGGGATGCACTTTAAGAAAATAATTGGAAATGGAAACATACATTTATGTACACATTTGAAATTAAACACAACAAATTGGGAAATGCATGATACATAAATAAGATTAAAAACTGCAGTCATTCAAAGCCATGCTTTTTAAGAAAATTTAAGTATATGGTGAAATGTTCCCAAGATAATGTTAACATTTAAAAATAGTATTATCACAATATGAAAAAATTATGTTTAGATTATAGGGTTATACATTTTTAATAAAGGGACATTCTATATATTTAAGATGTAGATATCTTCATAGTTGTAGAAGAAAAACATTCATAAAATTCAATCCTTATTCATGATCAAAAGCTCTTATCAAACTCAGAACAAAAGGAAGCTTTCTCAACCCAATATAGTAAATTCTTCTAACATTTCACCATTGAGAATGATGCAAACACTGAAATGATATTTCCATCATTTGTAATGGTGAAACATTAACAATTTCCTTGACTGTCAGAAACAAGACAAGGATGGCAACTATAACTGCTTCTATTTAACAATGTACTGGAGGTCCCAGTTAGCACAGTGAGACAAAACAGATATAAAGGAAGAAACAGATGGCCAACGAAATCACTATCTCAAAGAGATAGTACTCCCATGTTGTCTGCAGCATTATTCACAATAGCCAAGGTAGGGGAACAACCTAAGTGTCTGCTGACAAATGAATAGATTTAAAAAAAATGTGGTGACATATGCCACCACATTTTCCCTTGTGTGAAATTGTTCAGCTTTAAAAATCGTGAATATCCTTCAGCCTTAAAAAGGAAGAAAATCTAATGACACCGGATCCTTAAGGAAATATAGGATATGAACAATTCATATGTATTTATTCTTAATTATTTATTTTTATTTTTCAATTACATATACTAGTTTCAGGTGTACAGCATAGTGATTAGATATTTATACAGCAGTTCTCAACCTTCCTAATGTCGCGATCCCTTAATACAGCTCCTCATGTTGTGATGACCTCCAACCATAAAATTATTTTTGTTGCTACTCTATAACTGTAATTTTGCTACTGTTATGAATCATAATGTAAGTATCTTTTTGTTTTCCGATCCTTTCACCCCTGTGAAAGGGTCTTTCGACCCCCAAATGGGTCGCGACCCACAGGTTGAGAACTGCTGCCTTACAAAGTACTCCCTCAACCCAATTAAGTCCAGCACCCACCTGGCACGATACATAATTACTACAATATTATTGACTGTATTCCTTATGCTGTTCTTTACATCCCTGTGACTTTTTTGTAACTGCCCATTTGTACTTCTTAATCCCTTCACTTTTTTCACCCAGCCACCGCCCGCCCTCCCCCTTCCCCTTCCTAACTGGCAGCTATCAGTTTGTTCTCTGTATCTGTGAGTGTGTTTCTTTGGGAAACTCAAGCATATTTTCATTCAGTGAATTGTAAAGCAGCTTCTGATTGTAGCTGACAATAGATATTATGAAATTTGCCAACAGTAGTTCCTAGTTTGTCATATTAATAATATGTAATTAATAATATACATATATTATTTGATCCTAACAAAATAATATACATAATAATATACATACAAATTATTTGATCCCAACAAAATTTTTATAAGAAATTAGAAGAACAAATTAAAAGAAAGTACAGAAGGCAACTGAAAACCATGAAATTTTAAATAACTGTCTCAAATTTGTACCACTTTTTAAGAGTAGATTTGGACTATGATCAAATCTTCTGATTCTAAACTTAGGTTCTTCCTACTATATCAGGCTCTCAAGTTTAGTCTTTAATGCAATCACTCTTTCTTCTGAAACTATAAGAGGGATTTAACTCCCTATATATCATCACACACCTATTTGCCAACATTAAAAATTTTAAACACAATTTATGTATCTACATAAAAACAGTAAAAGAACCAATTTATTTTTCATGCTTAAGCTATAGCTTATCTTAAATAATAGCAATTATACAATACAGCCTTAAGTCTTTTAATTTCAAAAGGGAATAGGCTGTTATACATACAAGAAAGGTAGTACTCAACAAGTTTTTATATGGTTAAAAGAATTCAGTACCCTCTAGTAACATGAGAGATTTGGAATGTATTTTGGATAAAAATACTTTTAGTTATTACTTACAGTAAATTTTTCAAAAGTGGGTGAATTTCCTGACCTAATACTGAAATTATTCCAACTCTCCTTTGAATTATGGTTTCACATACATGACATGAAATTGAAAATCTTTAGGATATTTTGGAAAATAAAATATAAGCATCACTTAATTATCTACTAATTTAATGTTATACCAGATTGCTGGGCCATCAGATCTGTACACAGATGCTAATATTATTATAGCAATATGCTGTGAGCACACTATGATCAAATCTCTGAGGCTATTTTGAGGCCCAGCACACTTAAACTCCAAAAACAACCTAATTTACAAAAGCAGGATTAATATGAAAGAGAAAATATTTCCCTAATGTGGCAAAGCTTAGAATTGTAATTTTGCAGGTGGATATATGTAATAAAAATTTAAAAATTAATAAAACAAACTCACTGGAATGAAAATCTGTATATTAGTAAGAAATGTTTTATGACAAAGGAAATAAATGTTTTACCTTGGTCCTTTGCTGGAGGTAATGGACATTTTTCTAAACAGCTGATGGGTGTAAAGACTTCACTGTAGTCCTTAAAAGTGTATAGGAGGGCCTCCTCAACTTCATTTTGGGAGTTTGGGTTTGAACTTGGAACAACTTCCTCAAATTCACAGTTAATCTGGGTCACCATTCCTGTAACTGTTTTTCTAGGACATTATAAAATTACTGATTTTATGTATGTACTATTTTAAAACATCTTTATTAACAAATATTATATATTGACTGTAGAAAAATTACCAAATTCCAACAGATAGAGAAAAATTACCCATAGCCCCACCACTCAAGAAATAAACTTAAAAATTGTGTATTTTTGCAATTATTATGAGTATTTTTAAACAAAAGTGGATTCCCTACATAGTATTCTGTAACCTGTTCTCTGCTAAAGCATGAGTACATTTATGTGTTAATCAATGTACATCATTTCATTTTTGAATGGATGAACAAGATCTCATTGTATTGATAAATCATAATTTATTCTAATATCCTAAAATATTTTAGCCTTAGTAATTCCTTATACAGACTTAAAGAATCAAAATCAATATACTGTAATTCCCCAAATGTAACTGGGGAAAAAAAATGAATGTGCCATATCTTAAAAATCATATATAGAAAAATCTCAAGTTTCTCCTTTACTCTTGAATAGTTAATATGTGATAAATGAGAAAAAGATAAAAAGAGGACGTAAATCACTTCCATTAACTTCTCCTTTGTGGTCAGATTAGGGTTTTTTCTTCAGATAAAAGAAGAAAATCTGTGAGGCTATAAAGGAAAGGATATTCTCTCTTCAGTTGTCTGGAGAACTTACTGTTTATCTTCTAAATGTAAAGGGAAAATTTGACGTTAAGGACACATACTTCTCAAGAAACGCCTCCACAAAGACACTTGCTTTCCATTGATCCAAGATTGAGCTATCCGTCAGTCCTCGAACTGAAAGAACTGAGACTAGAAAGGAGAATGGTAAACATTAGCTTCTAGAATTTTCTTTTACACTTAATAAAATGAAGCCAAATATTTACCTTTTACATTATGGTGTTATCTTTATTTGTTCACAATGTAATTTTTCCAAAGATTCCAAATATTTAAATAATTATTTTCATTATTACAACGCCCCCCACCAAAAAAAAAACACCCCAAATTACATTCAGAACAATATCACCTGAACATAGCATCCTCATTTTTACAGCATCTCTTTTGCTTCTACAGCACAACCATCCCAGTTAGTCTTGTTCAACAGTTCATATTATTCCTCATAAAGCCTGTATTAACCATTCCAGGTTACTCTGATATATTCCCCTTGAAGGGCCATAATATTGTCAGTAGTACTCACTCTGGTACTTAATCATATACAGTCATATTTTAAAATTTTATGTAGTTTGTCTCCCAAATTAGGCCCTTGGCTCCTTAAGAAGAGGGACCATATCATATACTAGTGTCAGAAGAAGCAACTGAATGGAGTCAAAGGACCTGTATTCTACCACCACTGTTATATCTTACTATAGTTTTGTTACCTTGAACAAATCACTTAACATCTGAGTCTGTGCCTCACTGAAAAAAATATGACAGTTTAGTGGATAAGAGGACAGGTTCTGGAATCACCCTGCCTAGATTTTAATATTTATACTGCTACTTATTAACTGTATGATCTTGAGTAAATCTCTTAACCTCTTTGCACCTCTGTTTCATAGTGTTGTTGTAAATATTAAAAGTAATGAGACATGTAGATTGCTTAAAACAGTGCCTGACATATTATAAGAGCCTAATAAATTTTGGTTGTTATTGTTATTATTACTTTTAAAAAGAAGTAAAGAAAAATAAGTAGGAAGAAATTGTAATCTCATTTTTTTCCTTCTGTACTCTTAGAGAGGCAGTTTGATAAAGCTATTCTTTATCTTATTTCCAACCTGACTGAGGCCTTCAATCCATTAACTCTTTCATTTTTACAGTATTCATCCTCCCTCATGGCCTCATTTTTTTTCTCATATAGTTTGGGTTCTGTGGCCAGTCCTATAACCATTCCCTTAAAAAACTCTTGATTCCCTTGCCTCTCTTTCCCTTGTACTAACTTAGGAAATCCCCTACTCTTCACTTTGTTAAGTACACTAAAAAAGCTGAAAACTATTGAAAAAAAATCACCCAGCTATGCTGAATGAACTCGTTTCAAATTATGACCATAAGTTTCAAAAGGGCATCCAGCACTGACAGATGATCATAGTGCATCTTCCCAATAAAACTGGCTTTCTCGCTCTTGAAGACAACTATTTAATACTCTCTCCCCCACCTCAAACTTTCAATACTCATTCCACTACCCACTCTCAGTCTATGACCTTGCCTCCACATAGAAAATTGATATAAATAAAGAAGAACTACCTCATCTTCCACCACCAGTTCTACCATCTCGTTGGCATGAGTACCTACAAACCCTGCCTTCCTGTGTATCACAATGGAAGAACTATCCTGGCTCCTACCTAATATCAGTTCCTCTAACTGTGCTCTTAATACTATCCCCTTTTACTAAGTTATCCTCTTTTTTTCCTGCATCATCATTTTCTTTTTACCAAAATCATTTCCATTGGCTAAT